TATCAAAACAGCGCGCAATCCAATCTCTTGAATTAAATAATATTTTGTTATTTTTTAATTTCTATGTGTCAAAAGTGTAGATCAATTCTGTTGAATTGTTTAGTTTCAATGTAAACAACATAAACTAAATTTGAGACAGATTTAACATATTTCTTGAATTAAATTATTTAATTCATGAAATTAAAGTTTCAAATTTAGTTCACATTATTTACTATTAAACTAACTTCATTGTTTTAGTTAAATTAACAACATATTGAGTTGGAAACTTATAAAAATGATTCGAAATAACTCAAATTGAGTGTAATTTGACAGTGTATGAATTTAACAGTGTAATCTTAATTAAAAATAAGTTGAAGTAAGATACTAAATATATAGGGAAGAAGTGTATATACCTTTATTTGTTGTAGGATTTTGATAAAATCGCTCATGGCCAGACTCTGTTAGACAAAACGAACGCTATTCGGACCAGGCCACGTTGACTCTTCTTCGCCAGCCGCGTTTTTCTGCATCCGATCCTTCCTCATTTTGTCGTATCTTCTGCGGTTCTGCGAGGGACGGTAAACGCAGTGACTTGGCCGCGCGTTCGTTCGCGCATATCGTTTTGTGATCTCATTTGCTCGTAATGCAATCTTGGAGACATAGCGGTCGGACGATCGCGTCTCGACCGTTGCGATTGCACGTCCGTTATTGCGGATCGACGTACAACACTGTCGGCTCTGTGTGGCCATTAGTCCCGTGTACCACGACGTAGGCGTAATTAGGAAAGGGAGAGAGCACACAAATACTTGTAAGCTATATTCCATCGAAAACGATGTCGTGCTGCACGTACAACGCGATCGTAACGAGTCTTGTTGGACGTAATCTTCTTCGCTGATTACTTCGGTAATGAAATACGACGGTATTTATCAAGCGTGGAGCTCGGTCAAGCCATTACTGTCCGCTCGGCAGTAATATTTTTATATTTCCTTTTACTACTCGTACCGATTTTCCTCTTCGACATATCTTCTCTCTGCGAGAGAATTCGCTTTACTACGCTTTAGACGCTAATACGCTATCCAATATTGAAATATTCCGTTTTATATATAAAAAAAAATATTTGAACCTTTTTCTCTTTCTCTCTCTTTCTCGTACAGTTTTTGCAACTGCATTTTACTAATTATTTACGTTCTATCTTTCTCTTTTCGTCTCAATTTATTTAATTCAATCGCCTTTAATTAGCGTTTATTATTAAATTTACATACATTCCTTTCACTTCCTCGCGCTATATTACATTTTTTTTTTAACCACTCGCTCTTTAATCATTTACCGATGGCCGATGTATGAAAACCACGTTGGAAATCTCCTACTTCCATGTCTTTCATAGCACGAAAGTTACGCGTTAACGTTAGACGTTAACGCACATGCCGCGTCGTGAGACGTCGGTACTATTCAAGATAAATGGAATCTATTCGTTTCGGCACAATTACTCAAGGGACACGAATGCATCCACGGCTATGCCCCTCGATTCGGATGCCAACGTAAATTCTAGCCGCGATATATGAGGCGAGAGAGAGAGGCGGACTACGGAATGGCAGACGCGGGGCGGGACAAGGCGAACGGAAAAGGAATGGAGAAAAAGTAGTCGACATATTTTTGCACAACGAAAAATCGTAGAGGGTACATATACGTTAAACACGCGTATGTAGGGTTAATAAATTTCAGGAGCGCCAACAAGACCGTGTCCGATCGATTTTCGCTACCTTACGCGCGAGGAGAACGAGAATTACCCTGAGATTTTGTACATAATATATAGCGAGGTGAAAGTAGAGCGTGATAGAAAGAACGTGCGTGTCTGTGTATATGTGAACGTGCGGGTATGCGTGTTACCGAATAAAAAATATGAAAAGAGAAAAGGAAAAAAATAAAATGTTACGTTATAAGAAGATGATTGTAACGAGGACGAGCAGCTAAGTTGTAGAATTTCCTTCGAATAACGTCGCTCGCCGAAGTAGCTGTAAATACGAGGACGTGCGTTTCTCTAAACTAATTAAAGTAACTCCCCCTCCCCCTCCTCCCCAATGTGAAACGAGAGAGAGAGACGATCGATTTATCTCGTTTGAAGTCGTCCACGTGCTCGAAGTCGGATACGCGCGTATCCGGGATGTACGAATGATGAGCTGAGTCTCGAGCGGAAAAACGGAATGCCTACGGAGTGCCGGATGCCGGTTGAGACGACATTAGATCCTTATAGGGAGATTCCGTCGACCCTTGCCGGTGAGATCGGTTTCGCGATGATCGCCGAATCTTCGTGACGATCCGGTACGGCACCGTGTGTCACGTGCCTGCGCGCGGCTGCTCGCAATATTAATTACAATATTGATAATAACGCCCGTACATCGCACGCATGTTGCGTCGCGCGCACGTGCGTGCACGCGCTGCATCCACGAGAGGTCCGTATATTAATTAATATCCATCATAGTTATGATATTATAATGAATTATTATTTGTACAAATTTTATGTTGCAATATAAAATAAACGATGAAGCGACGATCTCCTGCGTCTTCGATTCTTCCCTCTTATTTCACTCTCCCCCCCGGCGAGTCTCTTGTCTCATAAGTCAAGAGCTACGATCGTTTTTATTTGCGAAAGCTGCAGAGAGTTCTTTGAATACATTTTCTCAATCTATGTTTTTTAATTATCATGTTTTATAATGTCTTGTTAAACTAAAAGAGAAAAAGGAAATGGTATGCTGTTATAGGATTATTATAATAAAGACGTGCAGCTAAGTTGTAGAGTTTCTCTCTAATTATGTCGCTCGCTAAACTAACTGCAAATACGAGAATGCACTTTTTTTCTGAATTAATTAAATAGCTCCAGTCGGCGCATATATAACTAAATATATCTTTTAAGTTAACTCATACAGCACAGATCATTTCAGGAATACTGTAGTAACATTGTAATAACGTACAGCCTTGGGCTACAAGTATAAAGCACTCTCAATTTATTGCATTTTCTTGAAAAAAAAAAAAAGCGATAATAGTAGCTAAAGGAAAACTAACAAAATATTAAAATTATGATAAAAATGACTGTATTATTTTCCAATAAAATTTACAATACAGCCAAGGCTGTATTAACAATGCTGCTGCAAGCTACTGTGTTGCATGTGATATCTCGAAAATTTTGCGTCTCGATGTATTTTGAGGAAAAGCTCGGCTCCAAACAGTTGGAATTTATGGAAAATCGGGTCCCAGATTCCCGCGTGCGATTTATATCACGAGGAATACGAACTATCGAGAGGTGGCCGTTACCTTCATCGACCTCCGGCATCGAGACATCGACCTCGTGTGCTCGATTGGCGCGAGCTTGCGCCGTCCACGGCTTTCTCCCACTTTGTGCTAGATAAAACGCTCTAAGGCTTTTCACCCTGTGCGATATCCCTTGTTTCCCTCGGAAACCGAGGCGATATTTTACAGTCGCGACGCGAACGGTCGGTGAAAAATGCGCGGGGCGGTACGTCGCTGGGAACAATCGATAACGGACAACGTGCAAGTTTCCATTCTTTCCAGTGACACGCGCGAACTGCGCGATGCGACGTGTAATATGTTGATGATACTGTCGGAACGCGAGAAAATCAGGTAAGAGAATAAGAAACGAGGAACGCAACGCTCCTCTCAGCCGTCGCGTCGAATTACACGGCACGCTCTTCTTAGCGTTACGATAATAGCTGCTTCGACGCGCGCGAGGCTCTACCGAGCATGCTCGGTAATCCATGCTTCGAAATCCTGACAGTGATTTTAATTCGTTACGATAGTAATAATGTTACGAAGCTAAATAATGCTACGGTAGTAACATCATCGAGTTTTCTCGCGTTCTCAGTCGAATAACGAGCATCGGGTATCTATTATAAATAATATCGATAGATGGAATCCTCTTGTTAAATCTTCCTTTAATATTCATATTAAACTATCCTTTATTTTAACGTAGAGTGTAGAATAAAATGAAAAAAATCGGAATATTTTTTTATTAATTTATGATAAAAAAATCCTGATGAAAATGGTTGATTGATGATAGATAATTGTGCAAGCTTGACGGTGAAATATTTAAAAAGTTATTGCAATCTTGTAATTAATAGTTAATTAAGAAATTAATTTATGACAAAAAATAATTTGTAATTTTTTAAACTGTGATTAATTCGTCTAATTGTAAAAACGCACGTAACTACTTTTGATTAAAACTGTTCTCAGTTTACCGAATAATACCGAATAATGCCGAAGAATGCTTCTATTATTTCTTGTCCTTGAGGTATTCCTCGAAATTGATTTTCCGAGACATAATAAGAGCCGAACAGCGTAAAGGCATTCAGTGGTACGGCATTCTAGTCGCGTGACCGACGACACCACGTGGTGTATCGAATCGCTACTCCGAAGTCGTCGTTTTTTCGGTGCTACAAAAACATTACGTGTATCTTTTGTGTGTGAAGTGAAAAGAAAATTTTGTTTATTAATATTCTATACATTGTCGATAGTATTAATACGCAACACGGAGAATAGAAGATTTCTTCAAGAAAAATACTAGTAACAACCATCGAGATAAGCGAGACGATGCGATAATTATTTATTAGTCACGAAAGTAAAATAAGTGTTGTATCGAGGAAAATATTGGAGCATTATAACTGATTATAATTCAAGCGTAAAATCGCCCAGTTTTGCGACATCTCTTTTATGAATCAAGACGCTGTATGAAAAATTTTGTGAACATCCGTGAGAAGTCTCGTTTCACCGGAGAAGTTATCGTCAACAAAAATGTCCGGATTTCAATCGCATCCTGTAGTCCAGACTTTATCTATCCACCGTTCTATTCGTACATGTAGATGTAAGATATCGACAAAAGTTTATTTTACTCGACATAGAGACCCAATCCAACCAATTCCATGATATTCTGCTAAATATATTTTATCTCGTTAAAGAATGTATTACTTAATCGTCGGTAGAAATGTTTACGATCCTTCTTTTATTTCGAATATTACGTAAAAATTATATGTTTTCTCGTATCTTATCCTGCTGAGAAAGAAATTATCGCCTTATCGTGCTAATGATCACGCAAATCCGTGTAAAAGTTTTCGCTTTCATTTTTTTTCCTTCCGTGGTTTAGAGATTACTCGATTAATCTCAAAAGTTCAAGATAATAATAGTTGCCAATGACACCAATGTGCCCCAGTAACAACAAATCGATCCTGTTATACGGGCATATTCACAGTCAGTGTTCAGACGATAGCATACGCGGCGTGTCGTTGCGCCGTATCGCTTGGTTACCGCGTGTGACATAAGCCATAAGGTATATTAATATTAGCACTGTCAGTATATCCGATTGCTCAACGATATCCAATTATTGAGGTAATTCAAGATCAACCTGACTCGAACAACATTAATTTACATTTGCTACTTAAATTATCTTTCCGTACACTGTTTTAAATATATTCAAGATCTCATCGCTCATTTAATGCTAATCTAATCTTAGCATCTACTTAATTAATATCGAAGATTACCGTCCACACTAAATGTAGAAAACTACGACAAGAATAGAATTATTATTTATTGCATTTTTGTATGCAATTATATTTCATTTATGTAAGTAGCTATTCATGTTTGTCTTTAATTCTGTAACATGTTGAGCAATCAGAGTGAACTGCAGGGTGAATCGGTTAAATTTATATTAATTCTTTTCTTTTCCAATTAATTAAGCTCTAGTTTATCCTAACATAAGATTTCAGTGAACAATTACATTAATAATATTTCAGCCTTGACCACAAATCTCCATAAGTTGACGTAAATCCTTTACTGTACTAACGAAAAATAAATTAAAAAACAGTTTTATTGAAAAAATAAAAAATTATTTTTACAATAATTTTAATATTTTGTTAGTTTTTTTTTTTTAATTTTTATTATTGC